TTTTACTTGGATGGAGCTTCAATGAACGCTCGCGATCATGTCGCGGCAGTGAATGTGATGAATAAGCGGCGCTAGGAAGGCCGAGGCATGATCCCCGCCGTCCCCCTCCTCCCCGAGCCGCTTCTGTCCCCTTCCGCGCGGGTACCGCCGCGGGTAGCCGGGTAGGCCTCTTGTCGCCAAGTCACACTTATCTAGCCGCCGTAATCACGCGGACGAAAATGAAAGCGTTATGAAACCGAGCCGAGTCGAGCGGTGCCGAGCCGAGTTAGCCCCGCGGGGGTACGGCGGCGGCGTACGGCGCGGGGCGGGCGCGCAGGCGGCCCGAAGAAAAGGAGAACCTCCTTTGACGAGGAAGGGAAGGAGCAGCGGGAAGGAAGCAGGGCGAGAAAGCACCGACGACGGCGTGCTTCCTAGCAGGTGGTGGTGGTGTAGTGGGTGGGGAAGGGGTGGAGGGGAGCCCCGCGGGGAGACGCCTCACGCCCACCACCACCCCGGTCAGTCACGAGGACGTGTCGAACACCCCAACGCTCCTAGGCCTGGCCTCGGAGCAGGAAGTGAGCTGCTTGTCGGCACGGAGTATCGATGTCGCCCCCCTTCCCCACCGGTGCGTGCTTGGTGCCGCGGGGCCCACGCACTCGTGTGGCACTCACGCGCAGCCCGCCCCGCCGCCGCGCCCCGCTATGGACACGGGCGTGGCCTCATGCCACATGTCGACGTGAGCGGGGAGTGAAAGAGAGCGGGCACGCTGACACGCGGAGCGAGAGAGAGAGAGGGAAGAGCGTTCGGCCGGGCGCCTTTGTCGGTGGCCTGGCCTGGTGGCCGATCCGGGCTAACGAACCTCATCCAGGTCGCCCCTAGGCCCGCATCCCTGTCATTGTTCCTGATTACTGATCACGACTCTCCCTCCGCCGCCCTACCCTGTGCAGGACCAGATGCTGGAGGACCGCGCCGCGATGGGACCCCAGTTCCAGGCGCTCATCGGCGAGCAGGGCGACGCCCAGGGCGACTCGTCGGACTCGGACCAGCAGCCGCAGTCCGCCTCGCAGCACTCCAAGAGGGAGGAGCCCCGCCAGGAACAGGATAGCGGCAAGGACCGCGACGACAAGGAGGACGACCAGCAGGAGAACGCCGTCGACCCGCCCATCCACCTCAAGCTGCCCCTGCAGCTCGACTTCGACGACCTGGCCGGCGTAAGTACTCGGCTCACCCCCTCAGGGGACGTCACTCGTCGTGGCGAAGTGAGTCTAGCTCGCTAACCCCGGTGTGGCTGTGTGATGCAGGCCCTGATGGAGCGCAACCAGCGCTCGCGCATGAACTGCGTGGTGGAGAAGAGGCGCGCCGAGGAGGTGGTGGACCACCAGCCCCGCACCGTCCGCCTGCCGTTCGGACTCAACCTGACCACGGACCCGCGCTACGAGCACGTCTCCGGCGAGAGGATGGCCATCTTCTGCGAGAGCGGCAACGACCAGCGGTAAGCATGCGGCCTGCATGCAAACGACCTTAGCGTAGAATGTTCCCTTACCTGACCCGTCTTTCCCGCTCTGCAGCCACATCCCCATGGACCAGATGCAGCCCATCGTGGTCCCGATCCAGCAGGCGCCCATGCAGCCCACCCACCAGCAGGTCCAGCAGCAGATGCAGCAGCAGCACCAGCAGCAGATGCAGCAGCAGCTCCAGCAGCAGATCCAGATGCACCTCCAGCAGCAGATGCAGCGTCAGCACGAGGAGCAGCAGATGCAGCAGCAGCTCCAGCAGCAGATCCAGATGCACCTCCAGCAGCAGATGCAGCGTCAGCACGAGGAGCAGATGCAGCGTCAGCAACAACAGCAGCAGCAGCAGTTTGGACCCCCTCCCCAGCAGCAGATGCCCATCCAG